GGCCAGGCTGTGGTCACTGAGCCTGTCCTCTCTGGGCAGCCGGGTCTATACAGCCAGGCTGTGGTCACTGAGCCTGTCCTGTCTGGACAGCCAGGTCTGCCTTTGTCTCCCAGTGTCTACAGCCAGGCTGTGGTCACTGTGGTGGTCAGCTTTCATGAGGTGTCATCACTGGTGATGGTGTCGCCTTGATACCTGTCAGGGGATTCCTCCTGTCCAGTGAGACTTCAAGAAAATACGGGTGGTGGAACTTTGCTGCAGGGCCTTTCATTCTTTTCCTGTGGGGAACAGTGTGCTTCCCTGAAACCTTCAAGGCAAGTAGAAGTGAAGAATGAAATGATTCGCCTCATCTTCTGATCAGAAGTTGAGGGGAGGCTGTCAATGCCTGTTTCAGGACTCGACATCCATTCTGCCACATATTCAGGCCAGCACAACGTTCAGCTGTTGAAATTACAGTGCATTTCTCTGGCAAAACTATGATAAAGTGTTCAAGTTCAGTTTTTAAACATTTATTTTAACAGCACAAAATGAATCATTGATTTGAATCGGGTTCATGTCTTGTGTTTCACTGTTGGCACATTTCCCCCAGCGCTGTTTTATCTACAAAAGTCCCTAAAAGGCTGAGCTTGACTGTTTGTTGGACAGAAAAACAAAAGACTTTGGCAAATCAACTGGAGTTTGTATATTGTATTTAGAGTTTAGACATTATCTTAAAATAAACATCCAATGTTTGACACGGGAAGTGTTGAAAATCTTTTGTTAAACCACTGATACTGTTCACTGACCCTCATAAGTTGCCCTGCCACATCACACATTATAAAGCTCAGGAAGATTAAAGTATGTCATTTTTTTAATGCTTTTTCCCCCGCAATACACAAAAACATTTTGTAAAACATCTTGCAGATGTAACCTTATGCTTTTGTATAATTTTTGAGCTGTCTTTCAGGTACTGTTGTGTGTTTATTGAAATGGCAATCATGCTGTTATTTTGCATATCAGCTGCAGGTCTATTAAATGTGTTGGGACAATTCAGGTGGAGGCCCTGAAGCCATTTCATCACTGAAGCCTCGGGCAGGCCAGTGCTGTGAGACTTCACTGGGCTCTGGATTGAGCAGAACCAGCACAGTGGGCCTTCACTGGGCTCTGGATTGAGCAGAACCAGCACAGTGGGCCTTTGATGCTCCCTGAATCCCTGGCCTATCAATTGGTGATGAGTGACACTGAGATGTTAGTGCTGTGAGCTGCCTCCTGGTAGTTCTGAGCCAGCACGGGAGCTGTCTGCTCTTCCCTTTCTTTGGCTGGTGCCCCTGCTGAACACAGGAGTTCAAGCTTTAGACCAGGACCGCAGTTCTTGAATATCTCGAGTCCAGAGCTCTGCATGCAGTGGTTGTACCTTTTCATCAGAAACCGTGTGCATTCCTCTTTGGCAGCGGTTTCCGAAAACACATTTTTTTTCACCCCGAACAGGAAAGCGTGAAGGAGGTTGCTGCAACATTCACACTCCAGTAGGTTCAGTTTTTTTTTTTTTAAGGCTGCAGCTGATGGCTCTGCTCTGGGTTGACCTGGTTGTTGAGGACTTGACAGCACAGACTGCAGGGTTCTTCCCCAGTTCACGGTGCACAGGGCTTATGGGATGTTAGAAGTACGGCTAACTGTATTTGACACCCTTTTGGTTTGAGGTTTTTGCCAGACTGCTTGGAGGACGCTCTGTGGTTAGTGAACAGTTACAATTAAAGAATTCCAGTTTGTTTTCTGGAGTCTTTTTTTTTCTTTGAGATAGCATCTGTATAAAAGTTCTTCATGTATCTCAAAATTGCGAAGATTGTTTTCATTCCGTTTCTTTTTCGCAGAAGGATTTTCCTCTAGTTAGTGGTGAAGAGTTCGGTTTTCATTTCACGTAGAGGATTCAGTTTAAGTTGGATTCCCACAGTGGAAAAAAATCACAGACCTGAAGAATGTGGGTTGTTTTACACATAATGACACACTGGGCGCCCTCTGGCGCCGCGCCAGGACAGCGGTCTGCCTCCCGCCAGGCGCCCTGGGCCTTGCGGTACTTCGTGAGCACCGTTGGCCGGGCTGACAGCTCGGGTTCGAGCCCTGACCTTGAGGGTTTGCTACAGCAGCATGTAATACAATTGGCCCACGGTTAGCTAATTTGAAGTATGTATTTTTTTTTCAAATGCAATTACAGGCAACAACCGTTCCATATAAACATTCCTGAGCTTAGTGTTCTCTTTTTCTACCGTGTAAATATATTGATGGTCTTCCTGGAAAGTAAAATACAGTATTAATTTTGACTGATTTCTGTTCTCTGAAGAGCTGTGGCATGTGTGGGTGTTTTTTTTTTCTTTTTGTTATACTGCAGTTGCAAAATAGTAAATAAAAATATTTTTTTTTTTCCTGCAGGTCAGCTTCTGGGTGGTGAGAGAGATACTGACAGCACAGACCTTAAAAATCCGTGCAGAAATACTGAGTCATTTTATAAAAATCGCAAAGGTGAGTTTAATTTTCTGTGTTGTTTTTTCATTCTGCATGCAGTTGTCCCAGCGAGGTGATAAGCAAGGAAGCTGGAAACTGGCTCTTCTGGCACGTACAGTTGTGGACAGGGGCGGGGCTTGTGTTCCTGCCCTGAGTGACACGTGATGGATGCCTGGAAGTGTGTCAGCAGTTTGTCTTGTACTTCAAGGAGCGTATAAACCTGTCCGCTGAATCAGACCTGCTATCCCCTGGCTAATAAAGGGATCAGCAATTCACTGTGCCCACAGCCTGGCCAGGGGCGGTCAAGCATATGGTGCTGCACAGGCTCTGGCCCCCTGTGACTCCAGCGGTGCTGTTGCCGGGGCGCCCCTCTGTGATTCCAGCTCGGGGTGCCTGCGGGACCGGAGAGGACCAGAGAGCCGACGCTCTGCACTTGGTCCAGGGGTCCTGGAGAGCGACCGCCTGGAAGCCCAGCTAGGCGGGCGCAGTGTTGGGATACTGTAGCCACGCGTGTCGTGTTCGTCTTCAGGCACAGGCTGCGTGTCGGAGAGGGGCTGCGGGCACTGACACTGGCCAGGCTTGACCCAGCACGAGAGGGTGCAGGGTAAAATAAAGCACAGCAAAGCGCTCCCTGATATCTCAGAATGTTTTAAAATACTGCCCTGCACAATATTTTCCATTGTTTAATCAACGTACAGGGACATGGAAAGCGAAATACTTCTCATGTCTGTTCCCCAACATTGGTCAACTTCAGTGCGCTGTTTTTTATTCAGTTTTATAGCATCATTATGTAATTTTGTTTTGACTTTTTTAAAACCAAACTCTATAGAAGTTTATGGGAATTGAACTGAGCCGGGTAATGCATGCATTTTTTAGTGATGCTCAAATAAAAATACACTGACTCCAGTTTTTTCAGTGTTTTTCATCCCATTAAAAAGCGGGATACTTGTCTCTTTCCAACCTCATGCGATCATCTGCAAATGTTATTCTCGTTTGCTGGGTTGTATTATTTCATTATTTTTTTATTAGGTTTGCCAGCTGTCAGGGGAAAGTTCTAAAACTGTGATTTAGTGCTGAAATGTGCACTTTGCTGGAAGCAGTCTAAATAAAAGCTGATGGAGAGCAGGGAGACTGCCGTTAATAGCAAAGCTATTTTAATGACGCAGATATAAAAGTGTGCTTGTTAAACAGCTCTGACATTAAAAATAAATAATAAAATAATAAATAATTAACTTGTTTAACTGGAGTGTTAGTAGAGTCAGTATTAGACTTATTTATCCTATTGAACCAAATTTCTACTTATGTTTCTCTGAAAATGCCGATTTAGGTAACTAGGTGATCTGCTCATGCAGTCTTGTCAGAAATGCCTTAGAAAGTGTCCGAGTGCGTTTCCTGCAGTAGGGAGTTGAGCTTCTGCTACGACCACAGAAAAAGGTCGAGAGGCACAGTCATTTCGCAATGCAAGGAGTTTGCACAGTCTTGGTAGCTCGGCTACTCCAGGCTTTCAAAATATTTTTAAAAACTAAATAAAGGAAACTGCGTCGATACAAATATTCAAGTGCAGTGGAAAAGCTGTTTCAGCAAATATGGACTGTTTTTTCCGAGGGGAACAGTGAGCTTTGCTGCCTTGCAGAGTCCAGCTAAAGACTCCATCTTCCAGAACTCTCTATACTTGTTCCTCTTTTCCAGATCGTCGTATGCGGTTTCTCTTCCTCAATTCCCAACCTTCAGGCTTCTGTATGGGCTTTACACACATGAGGATCTAAATCACCTTTTTTTAAAAAAAATGATTTAAAATCCCTGCAGTTTTCGGGTGAAATGAATATTTGGCAAAAACATGTACAAGTCAGCCTGTTTAATGGGAATTAGCTGAAACCTAAATATGCATAAAATGTGACTTTTGAAGTTATACATGTGACAGATGGGCTCTCCCTGGTTAAGAGTGGTTTATCTAGGTGTGCTCATGACAGAAACAGTGTTCTGGATGCTGCCTCTCTGCAACCGAGGTCAGTGTGGCAGGAGGATGGCAGCCGGCTGGCAGTGACATCACAGCCTTTCCATGCTTAAAAGAAATTAGTAATATGGCGGAAAAATAGGAGGCTATAAAAAAGTGTTAATACCCTTCTAGAAAATCATTGAAACAAAAGCCCTTTTTGGTGTGGGATTGTTGTGCGGAGCTGCAAGCTAGAGGATTTTCCACAGCTTTAGTGGAAAGTTGGAGGCTGGGCGCTGGCCGTTGGGTTTCTGGCGAGACGTGGAAGTTTCAGCAGCAGAAAAGGCCACCGGCACCTCTTTGTTCTTGGATGAAAGCCACCCTCCCCGGGGACGGGGGTCTCGGCCAGCACGGTGGCAGCCCTGTACCTGTTCAGGAACGAGCCAGCTCATCAGTGCTTCAGGCAGAAAGGGCACTGTGTGTTTCTTCAGATATGAATGCATGGAAAGTATTGGCAAAAATAAATAAAATGAGTGTAAGAGAAACAAGATTTCATGATTCAAAAAACAAAAACTTTTGAGTGACGGAAAAGTATTTAAATTACATCCCAGGTGAGCCTAGGTCTGGGGGTGTTTCAGAGCTGTTTCTTTCTAGACGTTTGACAAGAAATCACCTGAACATTTTACATTTTACAGATCGCTCTAGTGGTTGCGTCTTCAAAGGGCAGGAGGGAGAGAGGAAATGTGTCGTGTGTCTCCGTAGCCGCAGACCTGACCGTTGCTTGTGCCGGTGGATTTGATCGAAGTTAATGCTCCCCCCCCCCCTCCCCCACTTCTCCTTTCAGAAGCTGCTGGAGCTGAACAACCTTCACTCGCTGGTATCCGTGGTGTCAGCGCTGCAGAGTGCCCCCATCTTCAGACTGAGCAAGACCTGGGCAGTAAGTGTCCTGCTGCGTGTGTGGCCCCAAGCACTGAGCCCACGCTCCTCTTGTCCCTCTTGCTCTTGACCTTGTGAGAGAGTCCCGCTCTGGACCCCACAGGCCCTGCAGCGCTGCGTAGAAGGCCTGTAGATGTAGTGAAGCCATAAGAATTTTCCTGCTTCTTTGTAGATGAGCAGTTTCACAACTCAGCTATAATGACTGCGGTGGTGGGATGAAGCAACTTTTCAGCGATTTGCTCACGACTGCTGATGCTGTAATGAACTTTCACAAATGCGCCACATTTTACAGTGCAGCTGGAAGGCTTTCGGAGACCTGGATTTCATTGTGTGGCCTCCCACGCGTGTGTCAGGGCCCGGGCTCGTTCAGAAACCACTGTAAAAGAACTGCTGGGTTTCTTTTCTTCTTCACGGGCGTAACGACCCTTGATCTAATGGTGTTTATTGCCGAGTTTAATTCTGTGATTTTATTGCGGAACAATGTAAGGTTTAGCTTTCGGCCCGAGTGACTTGGCTAGTTCTGCGAGGCAAGCTGACCACCAGCAGTGGCCGACTGTAATCTGCCGACACGGCAGCAGGATGTTCAGTAATGCAGGGGGGCTGCACCTGGGGACGAGTGTTTTTCTCTGAATGTACGTGGGTCTGCCGTTCTGGATTTACAGCACGCAACCTTCTGCCTGGGAAAGGCCTGTTTCCGAGTGGGTTTTGACCAGCGTGTGAACGGAAAAAATGGTCTTTTGTGAAATACGAAGCTGCCAGATCTCTAAGCTTTATTGAATGATATCTGATGGCCACTTATTTTAAATGAGTTGCATATGACTGGGAATATGATGACAGTATGCATTGCTTTTCTCTTCTAATTGAAAAGGCTGCTCTGGGCGGCCTTGCCATTGACTGGAGCCCCACCATATAATTATCAATAAAAGTTTACTTGGGCTGACAGAGATAAAGAGAGCAACTGGTAGGAATCATGCTGATGGCTTCCAGAGTGACGACATTTTCCGACTAAATTACAGTCATAACCAAGCAGCAGCTTTCTTTAAAGTACCTCCTTTTCCTTCACTAATCTTCATGCTGTCTTTAATGTGTCTTCTTTAAAGAATGGCTCTCTTTAAAGTGCAAGATCAGCAGAAGTAGTTTATTTTTTCAAACCAAAAATTATTACTAGGAATTATGCACTGAAAATAAAATTGGCAAGAGACAGAGTAACTCAACAGCAAGGGGTATAGGACAATTTTCATGAGTTTTGCATGTAAAATTGCTTTGGCCTGAACAGAAGACACCTTTCCCCATGTCAAAACCTCCATTTTGATTTTTTTTCAACACCACCCTGGCTCCTTGCCTTCTGCCCTCAGATGCTGGACCCTTGATGTCCCGAACACCAGAGAATAAGCTTAAGGTTGAAGGGTTTCTGTGCCTTTAGGCAGATCGAGGAGACTGATATCTGACAGATGCTTTTTAAACTTAACATGTTTTATCTAAGACTCAGCTGAGTTCTTAAACACAATTAACCAAAATGTTTGCTGAGATTTGGCTCTGTAATTAAGATACTCTGCAGGGTCTCTGCCTGCTCTGACCAGGAAAGTTGGGAATTAGGAAACGGTATGTTTAAGACTGAGAACAGGAGGAGTGTCTCTACGTGATTCGTGAAAGTCCAGAACAACCTGGCAGGCTGGGGTGCTGAAACAGATTCCCCCAATTTCCTTTCCAGAAACTGCTGGGGGGGACTTTCCGAGATTCTGGGCCCATGTAGTCCACTCTCATCTGTAACCATTGCATGTGGATGTTTCAACAGTCCTGTGTGAGGGACAGCGAATCTGTAATGTGTCAAAAACAGAGAGCAGCAATCTCGGGGTGTGGACAGGGACGTTCAGGCCTGTGGCTGAGGGAAAGAATTGCAGGGAATTCCTAGCGTGTGAGTCCCTGACTGCTGAGGGGCTAACGAAACAGCGGAATGGCACTGATGGATGTGTCCTTTTCCCATATTTCCACACCAACCAGCTGGTTTCAATTGGAGTGTTTCTTCCTTCAGGCTCAGGAGCTGTGGATGGGGCAGTAACACAGATCCCGATCGCTCCCTTAACCTCTTACTGGCATGTTGCCGTCGCCCAGACAGCAGTTCTTCAGGTTGAGAACTGTGCTCCACCGGTGTGGGGAATCGGGTTGAGGGCTGTGCTGAGCTGGTGTGAGGAATCGGTGCTTATTGTGTTCAACGACAGTGTAAGGTGTTTCAGCGTCCAAGACAGAATAAGTTATTTCTCGTAAATCAGTTTTCAGGTTTAATGATTCTAGCTGACGGTGTGGCGTGCACAACAGTGACTGTAAGCCAGGACATTCGTTAGGACTGAGATGTTGTTCAGCCCCCAGATGGCGTTTTCTGCCTTTTATTCTTTTTTCTTTTTCACTGGCAACGGGTGTGGAGTTTAAAGTGTCAGCTGAGAGCTGAGGAGGAAAAGTCAATACGTGAAGGATTTCTAGTCCGTGGAAAGACGGGACCTCGGAGACTTGGCTGGCACAGTAAGAGTTTGTCTGGCTAGCAGACATTTTGTTTCAGAGTTTAGAGGGAAAAATGCAACACCTCTGTGCTCTGGCTTCTTCATGTTCCATTGAGGTGGTCGATACCAGTTCACTGGCAGTGGCCCTGATCCTTCATATTGATAGGAGTTGCATTTCTAGATGTTTAATAGTGCAGTTGAGCACTATTCCTGCTGGAATACTGAGGATCGAGTCTTTGCGTGCCTGTTACAGCTGATACAAGAACCCATTCAGAAAATATTGCTTTTTTCTTTTTTATAACAATACTCCTTAACTGTCATTCAACACAAGTTTTTCTACCAAATTAAACCTTTGTTAACATTATTAAAAGAACACATCAAAATAACATTATTGTACCTCGGAACAAAATAGCTTATTAAAGTCTCACAAACTAAGGGATCTTGATCTTAGACCTACATGGGATTAATGGCCTCCTGCCATTTTTAATATTCTTATGCTTTCCCACCCTGTGCATTGTGCAGTTGTGAAACTAAGGGAACATTTGTTAATGCTACAAAGAGAGCACAAATTGACTCAGAATAAAACAGATCTACTGTCAACCCTACAGCAGCTCGTCATGCTGTGACCCTGTGGCAGGGGTGTGGGGTAGATCTGTTCATGCACTGGACTCAGGCACAAACTTTCTGGTGCTGCACTATAATTCTCTTCCACTAGAGGGTGCAAAAGTGTAGGGAAGCCTGTGTCGTTTCCATCAGAGCATCAGTCCACAGACAAGCGGAGGCTCTCCAGCCCATCATGTCCATCCTGTTTCTCTACAGACCAGCAGCCAGTACTGGTTGGACTGGGAACGTGCCCCACAAGTACGGAATCCCCTTGCAACCCCTCTTAAAGGGACTGTTGAGAGTGGAGACGCAGACCTAGCCTGCCAGTATTGGGGTGGTGCAAGAAATCCAGCAGACCCAGCAAATGCTGTCACAAACCTGGGGAGAACATGCAAACTCCACACAGACTACTGAAGCTGGATTTGAACCCAGAACCCTATGATACACAACTGCTGCTATTAGTTGCTAATATTGCAAATTCTGTGTCAGAAGTTTGCACTATTCCAATTACTTCTGCGTCTCCTCCTGCTGCTGCAACTGTTTCAGCAACTACTCCTGCCACAGCTGTTACTATATTGGATACTGGTACAACTGTTATACACAGTTCTGCTGCTGTGACAGCTGACTTTTTACTTCGACTATAAAATTCCTTCCTCTCATGTTTTAGACGGAGCCCTTTTAAATTAAGAAATGGGCTCTTGAAAGGGAGGTCTAACTCTAACTCTGTCTTGTCTCCTTGGAAGAAAAGTAAATATTCCATATAAAAGTTAATTTCTGTAATCACAGACTACTGGAAGACCCTTAAGCTGCTGTAGCAGTTCATCAGAGCTGTTTATGAGGCTCTATATTTAGAAGTTGAAATTGAATGTTTACCACATGGACGATATACACTCACATGTAACCACTTTGTAATGTAAAGCAACTCGGTACTGTCTGTCTATTTGGATCTTGCTACTAGGCGAAAAAAGTAACAGTAATATCCACAGAAAAAACTTCAAAGAGCCTTACTTCTCAAACCCGATTATACTGTCGCCCAGCAGACACTGGTGAAAAACCAGTCTGTAATTTCCAAAAGCTGTTTTTAATTTGCTTCTCTAAAACGTTCCTGTTGCTGCTGCTGTTTGCGGTGCTGTCATGCAGCCTGGACTGCAGGGACCCACGGGGTGGCGTTCGGTTGGGAGCTGTTCGACCCGAAGATGTCGTCCGGGCATTTCTTGAAAGAAGCCAAGGAATCAGGACCATGGCGAGCTGGCGAGCTTGTTCTGGACACCCGACGTTGACACGTTGCTTGTGTGTCCTGGGTCCTTGTTTCACTGCTGATCCTGAAGCAGTCCTTGATCTGTACCCGTCAGACCATTCCCAACTTTTATCCCGAAGAAGGTGGTGTTGCTCTCGAAGCGCGGCCCGTCCTGAGCACACCTACCTTTCACAGGTGCAGCTGCTTCTGTAAAGGGGCCCTGACCCCTGCGTGACCTTGGTGACCGCCCTGCAGTCGGCGGCTGCGCTCGGCCCTTCGGAGGAGGAGAGTGGCCACACGTCCACAGATCAAGACATACGACTCCGCTTCCGACTCGATTCAAAATATCTGTCAGAAGCAGGATTTAGTTATTAAAAGATTTTACTGCTATTCTTTCAGCTTGGTATCTTTTTTTTTTTTGGGAGATCGTGGAGGACATACCGAGCTCCCAGGGCGCAGCCAGGACTGGGCTCCTTCTACAGGCGAGGTGTTTTGAGATCCCTCGAGGTAGAAGCGCAATTTAAACACAAGCGATCGTTAATTAAGTTAAATTAAATTTTTGCTGGGAAAAGGTTTGCAGATGTTTCAGGGCGCTGTGTCCCCTCCAGATGTGCCCAATCTCCGGAGAATCCCGGACCAACCTGCACCCCCACATTAACCCCAGGGTGAAGAGTCCTGTCCTTTTCCAGCCCAGAGCAGGAGAGCCGGAAGAGCAGTGCACTGTTCCACAGTCCAGAAATATGCATTCTTTGGCAAACCTGGCACTTGTTCCAGCGTTTTGCAAAATAATTGTTTCCTTGGATCTGAAATGCTTTGCATTGTAAATATCATGTTAACCGGGCTGGAGGCTGATGGTGCGGAGAACATACCCTGCATTAAACTCAGAAATCCCTGAACTTTAAAATAATGTAATGAGGAGCGACTCTAATTATATGCATAGTGTTGAGTGTAACTGATTGGTGAAGAGCCATATAATTTTTGGCACAATTGGTTCCAGCCCATTAAGAGAGCAGTTTATAGTTTTTTATTCCCTTTTTTTTGAAGGCTCCCTCTCTGTGACCCAAAATGGGGAGAGGGTGATAACTAATCAAACTTCCCCGCAGAAGAATGCAGGACCGTGGAAGCTCTTGCAGACACCCGCGGGGGGAGATCTGCCAAACTGAGGCTCGAGAGGGGAACCTGTGATCTCCAGAATCCCCTGCTGTGCAATAGGACTGCAGGATTCAGGCTTTGACTTGACTTTGTTTTTTGAAGTTCCACACTTGCAGTTTGAATTACGCCTTTGTGGTGGAAGCAGACCGCACCATACTGCTTTGCCGCGCTTTCTTTCCACTTGGTGCTTGAGCTTTTCTGTCCGAGCCTGATGTTCCAGCTCCTCTGGCTGGAACCCGTTTCCCTTGCGTTTCTGCAGGGTCAGGTGTTTTTCAGTGAGAAGCTTCTGGGCGGTGGAATGGAATTATCTTCAGTGTTGCAGTATGTCATTTGGCGCATGTGGAATCTCAAACCCACGAGCCCTGCTGGTTGTGGGAATGTCTGTGCTTGTGCACCTCGCAGAAATTGATACCTCCCAAGTTTTTGAGCGTTCAAAATAGTTTTTAGATTTTTTTAATAGATTTTTTTATGAAGCCCGTGATGCCAGCAATAACACAAGGATGCTGACAAGCCTGTTTTTTAAACCATTATACAAAGTAGCTTTTGAATTTATTCTGCATAGCTTGCAAGAAATCATGTTAAGTAGAGAAGTCTATTTGCAGTTTTTTTTAGTCATAATTGATTGATCTGACACACTACTAGTGCAGCTGAGGCTTACAAAAAGACATAACTGCACGCTAAAATTTCCAGAATAAGAAAACCCTAGCCTGAGCTTGCAGTATGTATTTGAAAGATCATTTGAAAAACTTAGTTGTGAAGTTTACAGTCCTTTATATAAAGTAAAAGGTTAAAGAAAAACACATCAGAATCATTAAAGCCCACAGCCAATATTCAGCGTCATAACTTCAAATCCTTTTTTTCATTGTCCTCGGAGGAAATTTTCCAATTAAATGCCCATTATTTTTGTTAAAACATAACAAATTCAGGAAATGTCTGTCGACCGGGCTTTCTGTTCCTTCAGGAACAGTCGGGTGTGAGCTCATGCCTTCCGTCGAGCTCTTTTCAGGACTGCTGCCTGCCTGGGGTGTCGCAGGCCGAGCCTGACCTGCGCTGTCGTGTCGCTGTGTAAATGCGGTGCTCTGGTCTCTCTACGTGACCAGGGCTGTGTCAGAGCGCATTTTCCGTTTCGCTCCGCTTGGGTTTTCTGTGCCGGGCTCACGCAAGCAGCTCATGGCTCCTTTCTTCAGTTTTAACAGGGCTGCCGATTTTACAAAGCAGGGTGTGTGGTGAAAAAAGCAATATACTTTTCTCTGTTTTGTTTTGGTGCCGTCATATGTTGTTTTATGCGGGCAGGTGGATTCGGGGGACACCTGCTATGACTCGTGCGTGTGGGTGGGCTGTGTGCTCAGTTGCTGTGCTCAGACACCATGGGCACTCAGGACACTGTGGGGTAGAAGAAATATTTTGAATTATTTGTACTACTTTTGTATTATTTCTTAAGGTTCTTAGGTTTTTGTGGAATTTCAGTCTGGCAAGCCATGAAAAGGCACGGCATCAGCGTGCCAGCAGCAGTCTGCAATGTGCAAGGCGGTTTTTCATATGAAAAGGCGGTCTCGGCCCATTGTGGTGCCACCAGGTGCAGACATTTACTGACCTTTTAGATACCATTGAGTAATAGAAGAGGCTATCTGCAGCAGGGACTATCACAGGTTTTCTACTGGGAACAGGGAACAGTTGCTATTCTCGGTCCGCAATCCACACGACCAATCCACAGTCTCTCCCCGTGTACTTTCTTGCTGCATTCTTGTGATACATTTAGGTTCAGTGTTTTACTGTTTATTTCGGCATTAAACCCAGACCCGGAATCATGGAAGATAAAAAAAAGAGTGCAAAGACTGGGCGAGAGGCTGAAAAGAGAGCTGCGCCGGCCTTCTCCCTTCTAACATCACCTGTATGGGGAGCTGACCCGCTTTTAAAGTTATGGGAGAGTCAACCCATTGTCTAACTCTAATTCTAAACTAGCTTGACCTTACAACTAGTCCATTAGACAACCCCTTATTCTAACCCTAAACTAGCCTGTCTCCACAACTAGCCCGTTAGACAATGAGACCTGTGTGCTGAACCCGTTGTAGTGAGAATGATGGAACACAGCTGATCTTACTCTCTTCGTCTTGTGCGAACGTCTGCACTTTCGCTCTTTCAGACTGGTCTCTCAACTGTGCGCCCACAGAGCCTACCGTCATGCATGATTTAGGCTCAGCTCCTCTGTTATAGAAGGCCACAAGAGAAATAGGGAATATCGCAAAGGTAAATAAATTCTGAATCCCAACCCCTTGGGACACTGGCAGGCAATGGAATCCCAGATTTGTGTTTCGTGCAGGCCGCCGTGATCATCTTGACAGCATCTTTAGAACGGGAAGAGAGAATATTTTAGTCATGTGCATAAACCAGAACTGAAGTACAGTACAGGAATTTGTTTTTTCATAAATATTCCATAAAGGCAATCTAGTCCAGTTTTCAGATTGATTAGTTGCCATGTTTCCAAGTCAGGAAAAGGAAAATTCTTCAGTTAACGACTCTTTACTAAACCAGCAATGATTTCTTCTAGCACTTGTTTTGAAAAAAAGGGCAGTGAGAACTGTCGACATTCAGCAGCGCACGTTGAATACATTAGAACAGCACTTGAGGTGGTTTTCCTGGGCTAATGAGAGATGCCAGTTCCTTTTCTTTGCTTGAAAATCAGCCTCAGAAGTGGAGGTCTGTCTGCACTGACCGTCTGAAGTCTGGGTGACGGATCTGTGGAAACTGGAAGTCGCTGACAGATTCTGCCCACACATGCCAGAGAGAGATGTGCAGCTGTTTTCTGCGCTGCAGTGACAGTATAGTGCATAGACAGGTTGGCTTCTGTTAGGGAGACCGAGGTGCTTATTCTCCTGTCAGGGTGATGGCATGGCTTGTCACTGCATGGCAGGGCTGTTTCCCTACAGCTTATCCTTTATAAAGATAAATCTTTTGATTTTGAAAATTTTCCAACTTTAAAGGAGGAGTAGCCAACATTTCTTGTATAAGTTACTTTGGCTTCATGAAGTCAGGATGTTTAAAAAAATACTTTGTCACAATCAAAAATAAAAGTAAGAGCCAGGAATACAGAGAGCAGATTCTACACAAATTCTCATTCAGTTGTGCTGTTTTTAAATCAATACAAGAGCCTCAGCAAACAATAAGATCAACGTCTCTAGGATGTTTGAGCTTTGGCTAAGGTATGGTTCTGCTGTTTTTTTTTAGGTTTTTATTTTATTTTTTATTTTGCAGCTGATCAGCCGCAAGGACAAGGCCACCTTTGAGAAGCTGGACTACCTGACGTCGAAGGAGGAGAACTGCACGCGGATGAGGGAGTACATCAGGGCTCTGAAGATGGTGCCCTGCATCCCGTATCTGGGTGAGCTCTGCTCTCTGCGCTCTCTGTGGGGGCTGTTCTTCTGAGCTCAGACTCGCGCTCTGTTTCGTCTGGGGGGAGAGCTGTGTGGAGTGCCGCTAGGGGCTCGGAATTGCTTGTCATGAAGGTGCCCACACCCCAAGGAGAACCCAGTCGGTTCCCAGTCGCGGTATAGTAGCGGGAAGGGCTTGAGCTGGAAAGCTTCTTCTTGCGGTAGGACATGTGAAGTCACGGGGAATGCATCAGGGCTGAGCTTCACTGCGCTTTCTGCTCTGTCAGAGCTTGTATCGGGGCATTCTGGGAGTTGTTCTGCTTTGATGTCATGGCACAGGCAGACAAGCGCTGGAGTGGTCAAACCCGTTGGGCCCTGTTCAGACAAACAGTACCCCGTCTCTGATGTCGTGGGTGGAAATGTGAAGGTTGTCCCCTGCAAGCTCTTTTCTCGGTGTGTTATTGAAAGCGTCATCAGTGTAAGCAAGACAGGCCCTTGTCTGATGTGCTGTGGACTACTGGGCTCCCATTCCTTATTCAGAACAGTGTCGGTTTTCCACAAAGAACAGAGGGGAAATCTGAGAGCACTGGCTTCGTGAAACATACTGTCAAGCGGGAACAGTCTGACAGTAACCTTAACTGACCCCTTTCCTTTGGGCCTGTCATGTTGCAGTGCGGCTGTGACTTTGATATTTGTGTCTAAGTTCCTACACTGTTGGCCTGCGCACCGAGCATTTTTTACATCCCAAGTGTGTGTCCACCCCCACCTGCGCTTGGGGACCTCCCTCAGTCTTTCCAGTACGGGGGTTGTGCGTGGTAGGATTTAAGAGGAAGTGTTTTTGGAGATCCTGGATAAGGGATGAGCTGCAGCTGCACCTGCAGAGAAACATGTGGCTCCCACATGCTGCCACTCCGCCTGTCCTCCCAGGCCAGGAAGTGGAGAGAGGGCTTGTGCTGCTGTCTTCCTTCAGCCTGGGATTACAGCACCGCGCATCCTTCTCTGAAGTCTTTCAGGAACTGGCGTATTTGTTAAGAAACAGCCCTTGATATGCTGACTGCTGTGGCAGGAGTTGATGTTTTGTACAAAGAGAGATTAAGAAAATGTGTTTTTAACTGAGCTGTGAACAGTCTCTGAGCCATACATGGTCTTTAGCTCTCAGACGGCCGCAGAGAGCAGTTAGAGTCCCAAAGGCAGTAAGATAAGACAGAGCACGGCCTGACACTGCAGGGAGAGTCTGCAGCAGCACACAGCCTTTTCAGATTTATTGCAAAAGAATTATTTTCACATGTTGTAATAACAAGGCAGGTTGTTTAGGTAGCGGCAGTTGAGAGGCAGCTGAATTTAGACAGTTGCTCACATGTGTCTTTGAGAGCTCAGAATGCATCGCCAGTATGGAGAGCCATCCCCCTGAGTGGTACCTCTCTGCTTAAATTGTGCTCCAAGAGTTTGGCAACACTTTGCTTCTGTGCAGTAGCCTGTGAGATGTGTTTTTCTACCTCCAGATGGGTTTGCTCAAGTAAAAGCCATTAAGAATGAGACGGGACTAAAAATAAAACCGCTCGTCTCTCAAGAAAAGCCATGACTCCTTGTGCAGTGAGAGGCTCTTCTTGCTCCTCAGTGGCTTTTCTCTGAAGCGCTGATACATCTCTGGGGCTTTTCCAGTGAGAAAGCCAGTCAATTCTGTCCCAGTCCCAGTCCTCTTCTCTTCTGCAGCGCTGCTGTGAGCTCGGGACAGACGTTTCCACACAATCTGAACAATTCACGATGACGGATTTGAAAAGATTCCAGAGCTGTTTTTTGTGACCTAAGTAAATGTTGTCTGTATGGCAAAGAGAAGAGAGTTATCTGTTAACTCGAGATTATAACATTTTGTAGCTGGTCCGTTGTAACGGGTTTAGTCATTGGTGAAGGTATTTGATACGTTCCAGAGCAGAAGATGGTGCAGGAGTCTGCATGCACAGGCTGAATGTGTGCCATAGTCTTATTTTGTAAAGCTATTTTTCCTCTCTCTAGCAGTTGATTGATTTGTGCACTAAACGGTTTTGGTCAGAAAGTGAAGGCAGTTCTCTTGGCAGAGAAACGTCAGAAATGTCTGATAAAAGCTGCTGTAACCATGGCAGTAGAATGGTCAGCCACATGAGCAGCTCTGCCAGAGGTGGGTTTCTCTGGACAGAGTGTCCAGCAGATGGCGTGAATGAGCAGACCCTGATGGATCGGAGGGGGAGGGTGGTCTGGAAGCCAAAACAGATGTATCATCAAACAGATGGACAGATGTATCATCATGCAAACTTAACACATTTGGTGTTGCATTGATCCTTGAAACCACCTGGCCTGGCTGTTGTTTCAGTTTTTCCAATGACGTCGGGTCATCAGACATGCTTGCCTCACTCCCCCCTCCCCCAAAGAATAACAAACTGGGATAACTGGACACTGTAACTGCATGACAGCAGGTGGGGGTGACGTTTAGCAGTACCGGTTGACATTTTCCACAGAGTCTTGCATGAAAAACAGCCCTTCGTTTGGACGCATTTGTGTCTTCCTTTTCATTAAAGCATTTCCTTTATCTGAACAAACCTGAATGGCTTTGGACTGTATTTCAATTTTAATCTAGAGATTCCTCAGCAGCAGGAAGGAACAGTTTGCTCTCAGTTTGTTGTGAAAAGGCACAGCTGCTCCTCTATAGCAGGAGACGGGATGGCGCTCAAGATGCAGAAACAGAGCAGAGAGGAGCGCCGAGAGGTCACCTGCGCCCAGGAGCCTGTCAGGAATGATCGGTAGCCTGGGCTGACCCTTTCAGGCCCTGTGCCATTTCAACAGTCTCACCCTGCAGGGAGATCTGCGCTGGCTTTCACACTTTACATCTGTCGGGCCTGTAATCATCCAGCACCTCAAGAAAGGACAAGAGGAACGGTGTGAGATGACTTCAGATCTGAGTTTGAAGCCGCTGAGTAAAACGTTCCATTGTGTGCTTGCTTGCACAGAGGCAGCCTGCTTCTGCTGGAGAGTTGTGCTGGAAGGAAGCATCGTGTCAAGAAGAGTCACTCGGCTAATGCTAATGTCTGTATCTTCGTGTATTTTTCCTTTTTTTTTTCCTGATCGTGTCTTATCTGGGACGTTTCAGTGCACGTAGTTCCACAGCAGAGCGCGCTGCCTAATAAATCTCCACCCCTCGCCGAGCAGCGCTGACCTGCAGCGTGGCGCCTGGTGGATCTGATCGCAGGCTCCGGGGCACATCTGGTAAACGGGCGCGGGCACAGGTCTCTTCTGCTGTGGGCTGGGGGAGGACGACGAGGCTGCTGGGGTCAGGCTGAAAACGGACCACTGGGTTATAAATAGCTCGGACAGTTTTAGTTTTTGCGTTATAGTCCTGGTTCCCTCTGAGCTCTGGGGCTGTGCTGTGGCGGTGAAAAACAAGGAGCTCTGAGGCGTCTGCAGGCTGCAGGCAGGGGCGAAAGGAACGTTGCTGGCTTGAGTGATGGCCTAGCAGCAGCTTCATAAGCGCAGCCACCCCTGAGCCCTGTAAATCTGAGACATTTCATGCGCCTCGGAGCTGAGCTGCTCCGCCGGCGAAGACAGCCTCTGACACTCCCCCTCTGCTGCCGAGAAAGAATGAGCTTGGAGGAGACTCAAACCCAGCTGGCCTGTGGGTCGAATCAGCATGAAATTATTAATAAACTAGCTTTTTTTGCTTATATTTGTTTTATTTGAAAACAAAGAAGATAGGAGTGACAGGGGAGTAGATGTTTTGTGTTTTTTTTTCTTTAACTGAAGCTTCACTTGGAACAGAATCTTCCACTAATGAGAGCTTTGAACTGTGAAGCGTTTGGCCTTGCTCCACAGCTCAGCAGCTCAGCAGCTCAGCATTATCGAGGAAAACCCTCAACAAGTTTTTCTAAGAATCAGATGACCAGACTAAGAGCTGAACAAAGCTTTTTTTTTTACCATTTCTTTTTCAAAGGACTGAAAAGAAAATAGCAATCAAGAGCTCTTCAGTGTCACTCAGCCTTTAACTTTTTCTTAGAGAATCGAGCAAGTTCATGTTGAATAGATTGCCAAGAGCTGTTTAAGACACAGGTCATTAAATCTACACTTACCAGCGTGTAACAGGAACAATTCATTTCTCATGTCGTATCCAGAGCCTGGTTAATATTCATTACGTTAATAAATCATTTGCAGTCTAAATCATTTCTGTTAGATCATCCTGCTTTTGGGTGCCATATAAAAGGACTCTTATGCTTAATAAGATTAGTAGGAAAGAGGCAGGAAGGGCTGTTAGTCCATCATGTCTGACAGTGTTCAGTCGGTTCTGTAGCCTACAGAGTGTCTGGGAGGATCAGCCTTTGTCTTCAGGTTTGCAAAAGCCCGGGTCATGGGTCTGGTAAAAGCCTCCTCTGTGAATGACAGCAAAGCCAGGACTGACAGAGTCTCTGTTTCCTCCTTGCTTTTTCTCTGGTCCTCACATAACGGGGAGATGGATCTGCTTACAGCTCTGGTCACAGAGCAGAGCTGCCCAAAGAGCGTCAATGCATGTAGACACTTGAAACTGGAAGGCATTGCTTTTGTGCATTTCGCTGACGAATCCTGCAAAGGAATCGGTTCCTACTGTGGTTAAGAAACAGTTCTCCAGAGTCCAGAGCGTGTAAGATCCTGTTCCTGCCATGCAACTGCAGACGAATGGGCTGTTGACAGATTGCGCTTGAAACATCCAGATAAGAAACCAGAAAGTTCACTTACTCAAGAAATAAGGAAAAAGTTATTTTCATTCTTCTGATTGTAGTTTTGCAATTACGACACAGGGGGACACAATTACTACTTCCTTGATTACCATCTGATACTTTGTGTAGTCAGGGTTTGTGTTTGAGTGCATGGGACTGCAGTTTTCATCAGTGTAACGTTTTCAGCCTGTGCCTTGTCTTCCTAAATTTCTGACTTGTCAGGCTGCGTTGTGGAGGATCTAAGTGCAGACTGCCGCTTTGAAAGGGGGGGGAGGGTGCAACTTCTCCACAGAAACTCTACTCTGAAACTTCACTGAGAGACTCTGAAGTCTGGAGGGAGCAGAGGGAGACGCTGCTTTCAGAAAATAGACATGTCTGCAGTCTGCAGGCTGTCATATTTCATTTGCTGCCTCAGCGTTTAACCGGAGAAATCCCGGAAGCAGGGATACTGACTAGGCTGAGGACCAGTGTTAGATGGATCATTTTTGGTTTGTTACAAACCAGTGGTAATTACCCTGTCATCTAAAACTCTGTTCTGGGAGTCCACCATCTGTGTCTTAATTCCACTGTCTCATAGACATGCATTGTTGTGTGCTGTACATTAGTGTACTCAGAAACACATCTACTGTATAAGCATGCACAGGCTGTGCACATTCAATGGTCTATAGCAGGAATTTCACTCCCGGCATTGTACGGTATGTACAATACAGCTGTAAGCTGATGGATTTGAAACAGCCATCCCTTTTACTGTAAATCCTATTGGGAAATTGTCCATTTTCCCTGCTGAGAAACAAACAACAGAAGTCTTCTCCCGTCATAACAGAAGAACCACATCTTATCCTGGTGGGGGATGTATTATAGAATTTTTTTCAGCTGTTTTTTAGTTACAAAAACCCCAATCTTCCTCCTTTGATGTGTTTCTCAAATATTTCTGCCTTTGCTTTTGTTTTTCTGAAGTGGTGGTGTTTATTTTTTTTCAATGCACAAGACAAAGATTTTTTCAGTGTTAAAACAGTACAGCTATCTTAACTATTAACTGAGAGGGTTTTGTACTCCTTATTTTATGTATATTATAATATATATGAATATATTATATACATTTTGTATTGTGTAATTTGTTATGTGAAAAATGGTCTCTAATATGTTGTCTGAATGGGGCAGGGGATTCCAGGTACACTGTAGTGTGTTTAATGGGGACCCTGTTCAAGACTCGGCGTACCTGAATTAACACAGTGTCGTGCATCCTGGCGTTTGGTTCTGTGACAGCTGTGGGTCAGCCGCCTGGCTGCTGGCTGCTCTCTGGGGAGCCGAGGCCTGTCTGAGGGATGGTGAGCCTGGGCTCAGTCTTCAGGCCAGCCATGAGCTCAGCTCACAGGCATGTCCCAGCCTCTGCTAGAGCTCAGGCAGCACAGCCTCAGCTTTCAGAAACTGAGCAGCGCACAGCTGCTCTTAAAAAAGTTCTATGTGTCCACATCTCTCAGTGCGTGTTCAGATACAGGTCTCTGTGTTGTGTGTGAAAGGAATCTGTGGTGCCCATGTGTGAATTGCCAGCGTCGGCCCCTTCCTCAAGCCGGGGAGAGACTGGCAGCTAGAGGCAGGCTGACCCATAACCCATTACAGGTGTGTCTGGCTGGGTTTCGGCGTGGCTGTGCTGCAGTACGCCTGCTGGTGCACTGCCTTGCATTGTCTGCTGCCCAGGGATAAGAACCTGCCTGGGGGGATGGGCTTGGGCTGGGTGATGTCTGGAGTGCGTGTTGAGCTACCTTTCCCAGGGCCGGGACACAAGGCATGAATTAGCTCCTTGTGATCACAACTGCAGACTGAATTCACGCTGGGAGGAGGTGGCACTGGTACAGGGAGTCAATTGATCTGTATGTGTCTGGCGTGCGTGATCCCCGGACTGTCCTCCTGTTTGCTCGTGCTTCATTTGACCTGTCGCATCGGCTGCTTTGCGAGACGAAGCTCTCGAGAGAACCTTGTAGCTGTACATGAAGTTTATTGTAACAGATCGGCCATACATGGGAGAATGATACATTATATTACAAAAATATTTTAATAAGGTGACTTCCTATGTACAGAAAAGACAGGTAATATCTCTCTCATGTAACCTACGATTAATTTATACTGTACATACAGTACACTGCTGTTCATGACAGATACTCAAGGTTATGGAATAAAAAAAAATAATCATTAAAGGGGATTTTCAACTCTGAAATAAAAACTGATATAGTGGGTCTTCCAAGGACTCATGTTAGTTTAAGGAAGCTGAATATAAATTTTGAAAGACTCTAATGGATGACTTGGGGGGTTTTATTAACTCTGTCAGCAAGACGATGAAGCCCAAGGTGCACCCTTAGATGGACCTGAATTGGGGAGCTCGGCTGCTGGAGTTCCTGTTAACAGGCGGCACCGGTGGTGATGCTTCTCATCTCCACACAGAGCCTTTGCATGCAGAGCAGGGGGAGATCTGAGGCTCTCATTCACCCAAACACCCTCCGTGCGTCCGGAAATACGAAAGACCCACTTCAGGAATGCTCGGTGTAGGGACCACACTGAGATAGACGATCTATTCTATACATCGTTAATGAAATTATATCTATCTCAGTACTGTTCTTAACTGAAATTTCCACCTGAATGTATTCACTTGCCTTTGAAGCAAGTCGTCTCCTTTATGACTACATGGTGCACACGGTTTGTCGCCAGGCCTCTGTGGGTCTCCAGCCCCCTGGCAGGCAGGGCTTGCTGGGTGACAGAGCTGCTGGGTGTCCTTGTTGTCTTTTTATGAGGAAGTGAAACAGGGAGCTATTCTGCACCTGTCATGATAGACTTGTTTTGTCAATCACACAGATTTAGAGGGCAAGGAAATGTAGTGCAGAATGTGAAGAGAAACCCCCTCTTTCTACTTAATCATAGTCAGCTGCTCAAAGACTAACCTAAGCTGGAGGAACGTGGTTAGAGCTGTACTTGGCATCTTGTTGGTTTTCTCAGTTCTTTCAGCTGGTGCTTTGGGAGAGCTGAACTTTTTCTACCGCAGTCCCCTCCTGTCTGCCTTTTTCTGTCCCTCATCAGGATATTGATGGTTTATGAACAGTTTGTCATTTCTTTAAACATCAGAATGAAAATGCATCTGCAGATTAAACCCCTCTTGGAAATCACTCCCATGACTGAGTCATGGAAAAACAGGGTTCAAGACCTTCAGTGAGCCATTCCTGTGTTTGATGCTGTGTAGTAATGACCTAAAGCTGTGCAACTGGGCTGTATTTAGGGATCTGAGTAATGTCTTCTTAATCTTTTTTTTTTTTAAAGTGAGCTACTAATGGTTTTGATTACACTGTATACACATGCAATGTAGAATCCAGGACCGCCACAGTGGCGCCCCCTGTACACACATGGGGGGAACAGGAGGAAGTGCTCCCCTGGCCCGCCCGCCCACCAGGCCCGCCACCTCTGGACACTGTGAGCTCTGCAGGGAAGTGCAGGAGGTTCAGTGCCAACCGGAGGAGCTGGGAGTCCCTCACGGGTGTTTACCAGGAGTCTGCAGGCACCTGGAAAGACCTAGGAGGTGCTGTTTTCAGTGGGAGCTGAGTGCTGGAGCACTAATCCCAGCCCTGCCCCTGGCACTGTTGAGCAGCCCTGTGCTGCTCCCCTGACATCAGTTCATATTCTGTGCTGTGGATGCACCTGGCAGAAGCGTGTCTCAGGAAACATTATTAAAACTTTGCTCATACCAAATAAATAGCCAAAGCTTTCACTTAAACAGGATGTTTGTTTGATTTAAACAGTCAAGCTAACTTCCTATGAATGTTTTACATGATATCACTGGATACATGTTCCTGTGTCTTTTTAAAAAAATATATTTAAGCAGTATTATACAGATCAGGACTTGGAGCTACATTGTTGGGTCACTACTGCTGGTCTAACTGGATGCCAGAGTTTCCTTTTCCCAGATGTTCCGTCACAAACTGGCTGAAACATCGCTGGGGTCTTCACTCTTTTTTTTGTTGTTGTATTGGACTGCAGATGTAAATAGACAGCTTCACATTCTCACTTATCACCGCAGGAGTGCTGCACAAATCATTGTGTGGGACCCAAAGTTTAAAAAAATGCAAATGGAAACAAAGGAAGTCTTTTAGTGCTCTTTGGCGCTGAGCTGGTTTGAAGTGTTCTTCTGCACAGTAGCAGAATCTCCCAGTGGCACAGAAGCTCAGTCTCCTTCCCTCTGGGAACTCACTCCCGCTAGGAATTCTGCTGGGCTGGTCTGAACCCTTTGGAGCGCAGAGAGAGGGCTCCAGCTGTCTTCATGAGCTTGGCATGTGAATCGTGTTTCCACTGGTGATCATCTAGATACTTGCAGAACATAAACACGTACACAAGAACATACAACAGAAAACGAAACGCTGTAAAATTGCACTTTTCTGAGAAACAAGTGAACAGGCAGGACATCGCTAGGAAGAGACACGCTGTAGTTCCTGGTGTCCACGCGCGTGTGCTTTGTAGCTGGTGTGGTTTTTAATGGAAGGTGTTGGGGTTGGGCCGGATCATCATCACCACCTTCTTCAGCGAGTAGGCGCCCCCTCTGAACTCGGCCCAGTAGACGCCGTCCTGGTAGCGGCTGCGGTAGTGCCCGCCCCGGTACCACACGCCGTTCAGGTTGGAGTGGGCGCAGGCATTGTACCACCACCCTCCCTTCTGGTAGTGGGCACAGTTTCCTGCGGGCAAACACAGACCTTCTTACTCACCAGCCTCGTCGGGGCACTGCGGCGCCACGCTGTGCAACCCACGCGCCGCCACCGCCACAGAGCCGGGCTCTGCCCGTGAGGGCAACAGGGCCCCGACCCCCTGGAGTCCCTGTTAGAGTGTTTTTGTTCATTTTTTAAAATGTGGGTTCTTTGTGCTGTTGTTAACAGCTCGACGAGCCGCATTCGGGAGTGTGCCCTGCTGAGTGGTGAAATGTAGCGCACTTGTGGGATGGGTTTCAGGGCAGACTGGTGGCAGTGCTGCCTCTCGGGCAATGGTGCCAGTCAGTCATTCATGTTGTACGGACACAATTGCCCATAAATGCTGCTTTTATGTGACATATGCATTGACCCATGAATTTAATGTATTAGTCTCACAGAGGCCCCTGTGCCTGGGATAAATGTCAGACAAATCAGTAATTACTAGAAGGCTGTGTTGAAGGCTTCTGTATCACATAATACTAAAGGGAAGTAATGTGCCAGTAACAGGCTTTGAACAGCAGCAGTTTGCTGTATAGTCTGCTTATCGACAGCAGATCAAGGGCGGCCAGGAGGCCGTCTTCTGCCATATTGCCATTGCAATTTCACTAGGGTGATACCTGCTACAGCTGGAGCCAGTCTGCTAAACCCCTTTCAGAGAGGGCGCAGAGCATGACAACCCGGGCTTGGGCCCAGAACATGCAGCTGTGTCCTGTAAGGTGTGAGTCCGAGTGTTTCTAAACCTGCCGAGTTCCAGATCAGTGGTTTGTGGTTCGTAAGAATAGAAGAAAAATACATTTTTTCCGTAACTTTCGCTCTGTTGAAGTGATCAGTTTAACGCGAGCTCAGTCGCAGTTTCCAAAGGCAGGGACTTGGGCGACGTGTTTTCCGTTGTCGGCTGCCGAGCAGAGCTTCTTGGTTGAGCAGAGATTTAGGAGCTCGTGACGGGGCTGCGGGCCAGGCGCCGGGCTTGGCGTGAAAGTAGCTGTGGGCAGGGCGCGTCGGCCTCGCTTACCTGTGTAGACGTCGTGGTCTCTGTCCAGGGTGGTGAACTGCTTCCCGTTGTGCCAGGTGAGGGAGTCCCCCGCGTTGCCGTGGTAGCGGCCCACCCTCAGCTTGTAGTACTCCGCCTCGGACTCCACCCGGAAGCTGGCGTACTCCGCAAACACCTTGCGGCCGGACCAGTCCTCCAGCGTCACCAGGAGCTTGTAGTTGCCCTGGTTGGTCAGCCAGTAGATGTTCTCCAGGCCCAGCCAGTACTCCCCGTCGATGTTGCCGAAGCCTTGCTGTGAAAGCAAACGCCGTCACGGCTCTGGTGAGCGTCTCGTTATTCTAACTCCGATATATGACTCCTTAGCACGGAGGACTTCAGGGGGTTTCTGCTTTTCCTTGTACCTGAATACTTAATTGCCTTGCTGAGCTCATTGTTTGCTTAAATGGATCAAAATGACCCTGTTAATTAGCTGTTGATTGTTGAAAGAGCACCATAAAAACACTCGATCCTGCTGGGGGTTTCTGCCTCACTAGGGAAATTACTGAGCCAAACGAGAGGAAGAATCAGGCGCTACAGGGCGTTCGGGTCATCAGCTGAAAACAGGCTCCTCTATCCCAAAACTGGACAACATAGTATCTTCTTTTACATTGGCCGAAACAAAACAAAGCTCTCTTTTTTTCCCCAAACTTAAAGACTTTTCTTTAACCCACAAACCCTAGGGTTCTCTTCTAAAAACGAACTGTAATAAAGTGGACTGCATTCCATTTCTTATGTGGATGTTGTAGGTGATGGTATGCTTAACTGAAACTGAGTTAATGCTTCATTTATTAAGGGAAACAGATTCTTTGGTGCTTGGTTTTTTGACTGGCTGATTGGTTGCCCCAAGTCATCTTACAACAGTTAATTCATAATCATCTGCTGCAAAGAATGAGCCCACATTGAACTCAGAAGAGCTGTCATTGACAAAGACAAGTGGCATAACAAATTATATCTTTATCATTTCAAAAATTAGGGGACTGCCTTGTTTCAAATGCTGGATTCCAGTCCTTCTTCCAACCACTTGATATACCTGGTTTGTAAAACCCCAAGGCAGACTGAGACATAATTGCAGGACATGATGCATCACTGCTTCACCCCATAATGGCTTTCATTATGGCACATGTGGTTTGAATCAATGCGAGCCGCTCTCTGCCTGCTGTAGAATTGTAATTTGCGTCTCCCCCCTGTTTTAAGGTGTATTGTCAAGGGCCTGAAAGCCTTTCATTCCGTAATCATGGCTGGAATTAAAACAAGGCTTTTGCAAGCTGTCTGCCGGCTTTCTGTGTCATTCAGAGACGTAAATTTTATGCTTACAAGTCTTTGACTTTAGTGCTTTTATCATATATCATTTAGGCTCTCTCTCATGGCATACACAAACACAGAGCAGATGGACTACAGAGATGAGGCGAGGCCTGCTATCATTCACTTCCCTGTACTGTATGTTTGTGCAGTTCTTCATCCACAGCTTGTCATCAGGCCAGTGCACACTGCTTTTTATGATCTTTTTTTAGAGCTTGTTTCTAAATAAAGAATCATAGTTTGCATATAGAATAACGTATTTGGGACCAGGAAGTAATCATGCAGGAAAAGTGGGTTTTCTGTACTAGGAGTACAAAGCGCAGTTGAGCATCTGTGGCCAGTATCGGGGAAGGAGGGCACGCGTGGAAGAATTTTCCTTCACTTGTTCTCTGAGTGTTCCTCAGTGGAATAAGATGCAGACTAGCACTGTTCTACACGGATCAGCTACAGGACTTTGTTCCCCCCAGCTCCCTGATAATCTAGTTTGGAATGACTGGGATTGGTGTGATAGCTCTGGTGCTGGTTGAACTGCAATGACTGCCGGAGAGACTGCAGGTTGACTAAATAACATTAAGAGGTGATGCTTTCTTGACTCGTGTTCCTCCGGACATGTGGGTTTTATTACCCTTTTGAAATGTTGCTCCTTCTCGGCTTCTCTTGACTGGGTGTGTAACTGATTGGCCTCATTAAGACTCTGTACCACTGACCTGGGTGACAGTTGGTGGGATGTTACCTGCCCAGCAAGGCCAGAGACCCCTCCTCTGATAGCTGCAGAGGCCCTTCATAGAAGTGAGCTACTGCAGAGGTCATTGCGTGGTCGGGTCAGTGCGGGAGGTCACTCTCAGAGGTGTTGGCGATTTACTGAACAGTTAGAGTGCAGCTTCAGCTAGGCTAGTTCCTGTAAATGTGCCATCTACTGTACCTGTGCTCTTACTCTCAAGCAGAAAAGACTAATATGTTCCAAATGGGATGATTAACTGTTATTAATCATCACATTTAGTGCTGCCCATGAAGATGTCTGCTGTTGCTGTGTGACTCGAGAACGTGTACCTTGGTGGAGTGCTGTACAATCTCATCTATAGCGGCAGTGTTGCAGTTATAAGGTATATCTGAATCCAGTGAAAGGCTGTACTTCTCTCTACTGTTGATTCATGTATTAATTCCCTTCTAATAAAGGGAATACGAGGCAGAGTTGGTTCCGGTCTTTAAAATAAGAGGTGTTAGAGAGGGGTTTCAATGTTCGTTGCTCCGGACGGCTTGGTGCTTTCCAAGCACGTCGGCGAGAGCAGGGATCTGCGCGCCCTGGCCGCGGCCCCGCGGGGCGGTACCTTGTAGATCTCCCAGTTGCGGAAGAAGTTGACGGAGCCGTCCTGCCTCCTCTGGATGACGGTCCAGCCCCCGGGGTCGTGCCTCTGGTCGCACCACACCTGCATGAGCCGGTTGGCGTTCTCCGGCTTCACCAGGTACATGCCGCTGGTGTCGTGGCCGTCCTCCAGGGCCTGCAGGCAGTCCTTCCAGGGCCCTGCGGGCAACAGTCGAGAGGTCACTTGTCTCTCGGGACAAACAGCGCAATGGGGGGGGAACCTTCAAGCCATAATGACACGGGTCTCAGAGAGAGCATGTTGCAGGATTACCCCTGCGGGGGCAGTACAGCCACCTCCTGAGGTCACTGTGCAGAAGCATGTGACACCCCACACCACACAGCACAGGGGCAGTGGGACAGGGGATTGGGGCCATAAGAGCCCCCAGCGTCTCTGCTCGTTCCTCCTGGCCCACGATCCCCTCCCGGGGCAGCCGTGATTGCTGTGGGGGAGGAACTCGAGGGCCCCGTCTGTCTTGCCTGGCCATCTCGGTTTCCCACTTCAAAGACCCCTGAGCCTGGTTTTGTGACGTCCCTGTGCAGGCCAGACTATAAAACAAAAGGCTTTCTTGGTCTTGGCCTTTAAAAGCGAAGAACATAGTTTCTAATTTTGCACAGCTGTTTTGTAAACTAGAATATAAAGCTGTTTGCTTTTACCAACCAGAAAGAGTAAACAAGAACAAATAAGATGTCAGTTTAATCCCTCTGACGTGTTTTAGAAGTTCTCTGAAATAATCACCATTTCTGTTAATAAATAACATCTGACTACGCACTGTGCTAAAAGTTTTATGCCTGCAGCCCAAGAGATGCCAGAAAGGCTGTGATGAGACGTGCAAACATTTTCCCTGTACTTTTGCGAACAGATGACCTCCCCAGACACGGGGTGTTCTCACTGGGCTTGTCAGGACCTCTTTAATCTTGGGGAGACATAATCTCTTACTGGGACCTGACGCCTCTGGTGCCTCTGAGCTGCTTCCTTCTCACAATAAAACGCTGCAGGCTGAGCTCCCTGGTGCTGAAATTCACACCTGTCCTCATGGAGGAAATGTTTAAATTGTTATGGATGAGTCTAGTGGGCTGCCCTGGCTCTCCCGCCATGCTGGGGATATTGAAATACAGTCCCGAGGAAGGGGGGCAGTCCGGGCCAACTGAAGGACCAGGATTAAGATCTATGGCCGGTGGGACTTGCTGCTTCTGCTGGAAGCCTCCGGAGTGCGAGGCTGGAATTGACTTTGGCTCCAGCCCTCGAGAGGGAAATTGCAGCTGGCCGCAGAGCCAAGGAAAGCAGTGGTCCAGGAGGAGAGAGTGCTGGTAGCTCGATATCGCAGCAGCTGCAGAAGGCTTAGCAGGTAGTTTAAGGCTCTGAAGGACAGTGGCAGGCGTGTAGATTTTGAGCTTTGTTAATATCATTGAACATGTGCGCATTAAAAAGAGTAATATAAAACCCTAGGGCTAGACATTGCAGGCGGAGGGCTTTGCAATTGCTGATACGTGTTTAGGGCTTCCTGGTCCTTGATCCCTGTGCCTTTGGGTTTCCATTCCGGCTCCTTTCCAGCTCAATCAGACCCATTTTCATTGGTTTCAGCTCTAAATGGACCTGACGATTTTAAAAATCTGCAAGTGTTTTAGGAAATCTACCCATGCTGGCAATTGGTGCAATTAAGAGTCATTAGAAACTGAGTTACTAGGAGTTCCAGAAGTCTCCAGGATAGTGAGGATCAGGGAATCCGAGACCTCAGTCCTGTCTGTATATCAGCATGCCACTGCTTAATCAAGGGCTCTTTCAGGAATAGCGTTTGCCAGAGAATCGGAGGAGGTTTGGCAGCTGTGTCGTTCTGGGATTTGCTTCAGGGCTCTAAGCGTCTGCCCATGAGCTCTTTCCACCCGGCTGTAATGCCTTTCTGCCCTCTTGGTCTGCTCAGATTGCACTGGAATCCATGTGCCCTGCTCTCTGAACGTGCCGTAGCTTCTGACAGCGGTGTGGTGTTTCATTCCTACTTGTTGAGAACAAGACAGGGGTCTGATGTCTACTGGAAGCGTGTAGCCGGAGACGCTGATTTTAAGGATTTTTCATCTGGAGCATGATTACTTCATCTTGCTTATTTTTTTGCTCTAATTTCCTCTGGATTGAGCCTGTTCGTTCTTTTCCTGCCACATTAACCTGCTACATTGACTTGCCTTGTTGTTATAATGACTAACCGTCTGGAGAGGACAGGGCTCTCCAGCTGTGACTGAAGGGACTGTGAGTTATAGGATTCATGGATAACAGCACTGGAAATTCAAACACAAGACTTCCATCCTCTTGGATTTTTCAGACAGTCAGATATTGGTTTGTTTTTTTTTCTCATACAGTTTTTTTTTTTTGCATATGGTAATACTGAGTTACGTTTTTAAACTATATCAGCCCCGATCATATATCCTCAAATGTCATGCCAGTCCTGCCACTAAGTAATCTGAACCAATTCTTTAAAAGGAAGTACTCATTAAGTATTCTTTACAATATAAGTACTAGAAAAATGATGGACAGTAAATGAAACAAGAGTACAAAATGTAAGTACGCAGAATGAGCTGATGTTGGAAAAATTCATAAAGTAACGAATACTGGAAAAAAAAACAGAACTGTCAGCTCTCATGTAAAAGGGGTTTGAAATGAGGCCTCTAACCGAGACTCACCAGCAGCTCTGATCAGCGCCAGCCTGACTCCTAAATTTACAGACCACTCAAGTTATGGCCTCAGGCGTCGGTGTATGCTAGAGGAATAAATCTAGCAATCCAACAGGTGTTCTCAAATTAAATCAATGTGTAAAATGGATCTATAGACATTTGCTTGAAAGAAGTTGAAAGGCAGAATTTACATCAATGAACTGGTGCCTAGCAGGTTCAGAGCTCTTTCTCTGCGCAGTGACGTGAAGTCCGGGGGGTGCCGGTTCAAGTCCAGGCTGTGTCACTTGAGGCACGCAGCTGGCTGAGTGCTGCTGGGCATCCGTGAGATGGGCGTGCTGGTAAGGAGAGCCGCCTCGCCCCCCCCCTCGGGCCTGATGAGGCTGCGATGTGGGAAGAGGCTGTGGCACAGCCAGGGACAAGACGGTGGCAGCATCCTCAGCCCTCCTGCACTCCTGCCGAACTGACAATCCGAATCGGGACGGTAGGGAGCAAGAGAGGATTTATTCGCTATGTACTTATCCTTCTACGGCAGTGTGGGGTGGAGGGGGTTTCTCTGGGTGTGGGACTGTTGGCCACAAGGGCTGCAGACTCTGCCCTGCCTCAGGCACCGATCAGCGTCTCAGGTGAGATGCAGCCTTTCTGCTCTTGTTTCCTCACTTTGAAATCATGAGTTTGGCTCTGAGAAAATGCCAGGCCTAGGAATGGCTGCTAGGATTATTTCTTTCCTTGCTAAAGGGCTGGAATTTTTCTCACCTCATGAATTAGCAGGCATTGATGATTTTCCATGTTCTCGGCCAGCACCTGTTGAGGACTTTGGCATTTCCTCCCAGAGTTCCGCTCATGTCTGGGCTTTGTCACGGCAGACGTCTTTGTCAGAACTGATTATCTGAACCTAGAAAAGCTGCCAGGAGACTTCGCTCCTTTTTGTTTCATAAATGAACACCAGTGGAGAAAATGTCCTTGTTTGGGAGCTTTGGGTAATAGAAATCTTCTGTGGATTGTAGTTGCATCGTATGATGCTCCTCGAGATAGCTTTTAGGAATTATAGAGACTTCATTGCTTATGGAAGTGCCTTCTCCTCTTTGCCTTGTATTCCAGTATTGTATAACTCATAAGAAACAGCTACGTTTTTACTGTTCAGGTATAGAGATAGAATAAGATGTTTTTCAATAAACAGCTAATAGATCAATTTATTTTATTTTTCACATATATGAGCAATTGAAAGAACACGAATTGATAGCTGTTCCCGTTGCGTCGCTTTGTTTTTTTTCATGTGTCCGGTTTAGCTGGTGATTTGGGTTTTGACACTAATGTTCACGGTGGGAGTTCGATGGCTGTAATGAGGGGTTGTTTCTATCTCGGCCCGCTGCCGGATGTGTGTCGGGTGCGAGCCTCTCTCTGCGGCCGCCTGGGGAACAAGGTCCCTAAAGGTGCCGGGCCTGTCCGCTGCTCCTCTCCAGCCAGCGTGAGGGACAGCAGGGTGAAGTGAGACGAGACCTTCTAAGCAGTGGTCACCCTAAAATGTGAGTGCTTGCTCCGCGGAAAGTGTATTTTTCCTGAGGGTGGCTGCAGAGCTGTATGAGGGGTCTGGTTCTGAACTGAGCACCGGGTAGCTTTGGACCCCTTCCAAGAGTCAAAACTTTAGATGGTGTTAAAAATACCCAGGCCGGCATTTTTCTTCTGCTCCCTGCGTCACATGTGGAAGCTTAGTGTCAGTGTGTACTGCTGTGCAGCTGTAATTGTTTCTGTTCCACACACTTGTGCTTTAGTGCGGCGCAGCCCTCTCAGTCTTTGGCCCCGAAGCAGGGCTGTCTTTCAGAACAGGACATGTAATCAATCTCCGGAAATAAGAAAGAAATAGTTTCTTATAGAGCTGTGCAAGCACCTGTCTGAAGTAGTCTGAAGAGCTTATCAGGGATCCCAGCAGGTGTGTGTGTATCTCCTGTTTCTACAAACAGCTGTTTGTCTTCCAGGCTGGTTAGTAGTGTTTACACTGACCACCACTGTAAATGCTGGTTAAAGTTATTGGCTTTTGTGTGCAGGGAACTACCTGATAATTCTGCTCTACATTTGGGACTACTGATATCCTGATTGTTCCCTTCATTCCCAGTATATTAACTGCTCTCTTACTGCAAACCTGAGGTTTGTCTTCTTGACAGATAGCAACCATTTGACTTGCTTTGTGCTGAGGAGGGAGGGAAGAGGAAGAAACCGAGCAGTGACGGAGACAGATGCAGGGAGTGAAAATCACGCTGAGTGACAAAGACAAGTGCAGAGAACAAGACCAGAGAATATAGAGACGGCAACATCAGCGCAAGGAAGTTGGGAACATCGAATGTTAGACAAGGACCATTCTGACTGAGCAGGGAGATTGCAGCTGCAGAAGAGAATGTTAAACAGATGAAGTGGGAGAGAGAGAGAGAAGGCCAGGCTGGAATAGATACAGCACAATACTGAAACAGATAAAGAGAGACAAGCACAGGCACAGTGGGAAAGATGGAGCAGATTTAAATTATTTTATTTAAGCAGAGTTATTAAAGATGTTAAGTAGGAGGCGTCTGTCTCCTCCTGTGACCTCAGCCAGCAGTCTAGTTGATGTTAGCCAGGCTCCGCATTGCTGATAAAAGTGCTTTTCAGATAAACTGTACTATTTCCCTGGCTGGTCCTGGGTTTCTGGCTGTGCTAACTCAGACCCTGTTTGACACAGACACCGATCATGGCAAATATACAGTATATTTAATCTGTAAGTGTTATTTGCAGCAGTATTTTCAGGCGAAAGCTGTTGCAATCTTGAATCTTAAAGCTTGATTCTGCTTTTCATTGTTACAGGCTAGAAACATAATGTACTGAACCCTTCATGGGTTGTGGTTTCCTTAATTCATATTGCTTTCTTCCCTCCGGTGGTCGGTTTGCCAACCACTGTGAGTGTCCCTGGGAGAACAATACCTTTTATAACGCAAAGACCTGCAACGGGGCGGACGAGGCATCTTCTATGCTGCATAAAGATCACACTTTTGAGTATTTCATCTTTCGGTCTCTCACACACTCACTGAATTATAGCTGCTTTGCCCCTGTGTGATTCAGTTTTATTTTCATTACTGTGCTCACAGTGGCCATATCAAAACCAAATTTTCCGTATCCATTAAGGGAACTTTTCCCACTGAACTGGAGCCTTGCCCACGGGACAGGTGGTGCTCGTCCTTCAGCAGCTGGGGGGATGTTGCTTCCTTGTCATCCGACTGGCAGTGTCTAACGAGCTCTCCTCCCGTCGTTCGCAGTGCTGTGAGAGGCTCCCAGTGTTTAACAAGAGTGCTTCTCTAATGACCATGTGCGTTTCTCATTTTGGTTTTATTCCTAAAAACACCCTCTCCACACTATCGGAGCCAGTGGAAGATACTGCAGCGCTTAAGATTTCTCTCTAAACCATGGATGCTGCTGGTGACTGTAACCGGCATTAAAAAGGTGTCCTTTACTGAGCGTACAAACGCCGTCCGATCTGCTGCTCCCAGAGAGCTGTTCCATATAGCCTCTGTCTAGTCTTCAGCCTCCTGCTGAAGTTTTATTCAGGGTTAAACAAAAGGCAGAATAAGCAGGGCCTGGGTAAACCTGCATGAGACCCATCCCTTTGTGTCCTGAATCACTCTGCAGATTTGGCCTTTTGCCTCATTTGTCACGTAGGCAGAAACCCCAGAAGTGTCACAGGACTCGACTCCACATCCCGGACAGGTGTTTGCCATGAGGAGGGGCGGGTGGCGGGTGGGCTTGTGGGCTGTAATCAGCCCCTGACACGGGGGGCACAGTCTCCAGGTGCCTGCAGGAAGCGCTGGGAGTCGTGCTCCTGTGACGAGGGACGGGGCCCTCGACTCCGCAGAGCTGTGCGTCAGCTGGTCTCGGAAAAATGTGTTTGAAAATGCGGAGAGGGTAACGAGTGCTTCATGGCGATCGATTACTATTATTGATATGGCTAGTTACTGCTGTACTAATCATATATCATTACTTTTATTAAGGTAATTAATAGGTGATTAGTGTTATCATTGCTGATTAAATAATTACTTGTACCTCAGCCTGTCTGTGTGCTGTGGGCGGAGGACTCGCTGAGTTGCCCTGGGCAGAGCCCCTTCGCTCCTGGCCGTGGCCGAGCAGCACTGGGGGGTAACAGGACAGCCCTTGGGAAGTGTTATTTTCTCATTGTTCTTCAGTCTGAGTTCTCATGCTGAAGCCCTTGTACAAAGCCAGCAGCCAGCAATGTATTTAAACACTTGTTTCCCGCGATGTGGATGAACTCCCTCCCGGGGTTAATAAATATTTTCGCACTCCTCGGTATTTGCACAGGCGTCCTGCCCAGGCCTTTCCACAGGCGCCTTGACAGCTCTTGCTCTCGTTTTCCCAGCCGGTGGGATTTATCAGAAGCAAACTAAATTGCTCTGCGGCTTTGAAGTGCGAGCTGGATAAGTACTGTACGACAAAAAGAGTCGTTTGCCTTCAGCGGTGCAGTTTATCTGCTACGGAAAGCATTTTAACAGGTGAAGGAAGGAAACATTTTGTTTTTTTTCATTTTTGTTGCTTTTATCTTTTTTTTTGCTGTTTTTCTGTTTGCTTGTTTTTTCTGTTCATTTTTAAACTAATTTATTCATACTCGCTAAAACCAACCGAATACTTTTCTCTTTCTAAAAGGAAAGAGAAATTTTTAGATGGGGCAGATCCTATATTTTCAGACTACATTCCAATTAAAAGACAGCTAGCAGAACGGATATTTCAATAAAAGCTGAAGAAGAATTAGCCCTCTATGTGCTGGCTTGTTCTCCGTACCGAGGTTGTAACTCCTAGGAAGTAGCAATCCCTGTCGTTCCCTTTGCACACAGGTATGCCTTCACCGAGCCATTTCAGAGGGGTCGAAAAACCTCTTTACAAAAGCCCTTTCATACGGCACGGGGTTGCCATTACATCACTCCGAGAACTGTGACCCATTATTTTATGAGAAGAGATTTTAACAGGCCCAGGTTTGGCAATAACTAGTTTTTTCAGTACGGCCATAATGACACTCATGCAGCCTGTTAGCGATACTCCCTCCAGCCTCAACATCACGTACAGGAACTGCCTGACTTTCTGTGGTCACGCCATCTGCTGCCTCATTCTCCTTCCTCCTGCAACATTCACTTACTGCTGTCTTCTCACTCCTCCATGTGTACCATCGGCTGTACAGGTGTGGCCTTTAAATCACTCCAACTGTAGCACTGCAGGATCATCACAGCTGTTCACATAGACAGGCACTGTAAACTATTGCTGTGCCACTGCTGGCAGTCCACACGCTAGGCAGGCAGTAGAGCCAGGATTGAGTCATCTGCGCTTGTGCGTGTGAAAGGACATGGCACGATGCTCATAATAGCTGTCTCTGAACCTCCTTTGCAGATCACAATGACAGCTTTGTTTTTGAACAAGAAACTTTGAACAACATAATATTTATACAACACTGGCTGTAACTTGGGATTCCTTAAGCCTTTAATTATGTGCCCCATTAAAAAGAATTGTAAAAAAACTTGGCTAAATCTTGGCAGCTGGTCTCCTCATCTCTCCTCTCTTGAGGGGAGCCGGCCCCTTCTTCTATCCTACTGCTCCCACGGAGGGAATACTGGAGCCTTGTATTTTCTGTGCTGCATCAACGTGACGTCATTCTGGCACAAAGCAAACCGCGTTTCTTAATTAGACTTACATCACTTACGGCCTTTCACCAGATTTCCCCACGTCACTTGTGGAGCACTCAACAAACACTGTCAACAGAGAAGCCAAGAGGACAGCCGTGCCGTATCGCCACGCAGAAGACAGAGAGAAAGTGCCGGCGCCCACATGGGGAAGCAGCTCTTACCGGAGGGCTTGTTGGTGGTGGAGGGGCTGTGCGTGACGCTGGGCATGGTGGGCAGTGGGGGTGGCAGGGCCTTGAGGTTCTGGTCTCCCTGGATCTCGTTGGTGATCTGGTTGGTGATGCGGGTGTAGGTGGGTGGCTGGTAGTGCTTGTTGGGCTGGGAGGGGGGCGGCTGGGGGATGGGGCGGATGGTGATGGGCATCCTCTGGCAGTGCTCCTCCAGCTGCGCGATGAGGATGGACTGGTTGTTGGCCAGCGAGGCCAGGTGCTGGTATTTGTGCTCCAGGTCCTTGTAGCGGTTGGTGAGCTGCAGCATCTCGGAGGTCTGGTTGAGGATCTTGTTCTCCAGCTGCGAGAGCTCCAGGGCGTTGTCCCTCTTGCGGATGATCTCGTGCAGGAGCTGCATGTAGAGCTGAGTCACGCGGGAGTTCATGTTGCGGCTCTCCTTGCGCAGCAGTTTGACCTCGTTGACGATGCCCCCGTCCACCTCCACCAGCTGCTGCAGGGTCTCGATCTGCCTCTTCTGCTTCAGCAGCTCGCTGTTCAGCAGCTCCAGCTCCTGCTTGTTCACGCGGTTCTCCAGCACCGCATCCGGCTCCTTGGAGTTGACGCAGATGGCGCCCTTCACCTTCTGCTGCGGCACGATGAAGGTGTACGAGCACTTGTCCTGGGGCTCGGGCTCAGGGGCAGGGGCTCGCTTGTGCCGCCGGGTGTACAGGAGCTCCCCGTCCTCGCTGGTCTCGAACTCCTGCGTTTGGCCTGCTTGAGCTCCTGAGTCCGTCCACAGCAGGACAAGGATGACCACAGCTGGGAGCCTCATGGCGCGTGCGCGTGCGTGACCGCTCGTGTGAGTGCTTGTCCAGGTGGCAGTGGCTCCCGTATTGCTGTTTGCCTGCAAGGAAAGGAAAGACAAGGAGAGGAGCTGCGTTATTACTCAGCAGGGTAACAAGGGTAACAAGTTTGACTCGAGAGGACATCCCCCAGTCTAGCCCTGCTTCTGCGGTGCATTTAGTCTGCCTGGCCATTGCGTCATGTTTTCCCTCTACCTTACCAGCCTCTCCCGTTGGGCTCATCGGGCTCAGCACCTGGGCGGCTGCAGGGGTCGCTGTGAGAGCCCTGGTCCATTAAACCCGGCCTCCCCCGAGGGGCACAGTCAGCAGGTGACATACCCATGGCAAAACATACGGCACGTTTTTTTTGCAATCCTCAGAGATACAGGAAACCTTTGTATTGTGCTTTGTGTCTGGACGGCTCTGGTGTGCACACTGTGTATCTGTCTAAGTGCTTATCTACAGCAGGGGCACAGAAATGACCCCGCTGGCTCCTCAGATAAAGGCTCTGCTTTCAACTTGTGTTGCCCCGGCAGAATAATTTCAGTCGGCTATTCTCTGGGAGGGGGAGGACCTGGCACGGTCCTGATCGCGCTGGAGGACAGCTGGGCTTCCTTAGTCACGTGGCTTGAGCAGGAGGCTGCTCTCCTGCTGGACTGTCCTGACATGCAGACGGAGAGCCCGGCACATCTTGTTTCGATACAGCCATTCCCCCGGAGCGGCCGTGCTGTGGGAGCAGTGTGCCCCGAGACTTGGTGTCCTTACAACCTGCTGGCCTTGCAGAGCCAGAGCGCAGTGACACGTGGTGAGATTGAAATTCATATTTCAGGGTATGAATATTAGACACATTGAGATTAATCATAAGATATATGAGCTCCTTACATTTTGGCTAATTTAAATATTGGCATTATTTATTAATTCCCGACTTCCTGCACACCCCCTGTCCGGTTCCAGGATGCAGCATCTGTGTTTGTTTTCCCGTTGAGACATTTGTCCTTCATGGGTCTTTATTTTCAGTCACGCAATCTGTTGCGCACTTGTTATCTGGAGGAGCAAAAGCCGACAGGTTGGAACTTGTCTCTACAACGCAGGCCTCTTTCAGCAGAGGGTTCTGAAACACAGAAGGTTTGCACACGTTCAGCTGTTTCAGCGGTCTCGGCCTCGTTTCAGATTCCGCACGCAGCCACCTGGTGTTCCTCCTTGGGGGCCGTTTTCCTGAGGCGCCATCTCATATCTGCTTCGTGCTGTAAGTCTCTGACGTCACTGCGAATGGAAAGTCTGGAGCGACTGCAGGCCAATGCGTCCTCTGGACGCTCCTCTGTGATTTATTAGTCGCCTTTATTGTGAACGTGCAGGACGGCACAAGACCGAAGGAAGAGAAACGTTTCATCTGAAGTAAAAAAAAAAAATGCAACCTGAAAAACACTGAGCTTTGTTTTGGAATATTCTCAAGAGAAACAGTTGTGAAAATGTTTTGATATGCGGGATCTTGGGGGGAAAAAAAGAGTAACGGAAAGTAGCACGGCCCTTGAATGGAATGTTAAATAATGCCTTGGAAACACCGGGAATCTCCAGCAGGAAACCTCATTACACCAACATTCTTCTGCTTGTCATTTTTTAGTGAGTATATTTTCAGCCTGATGGAGCTGTTTGTTGAAGTTCCGAGCAGTGAAGCAAGAGCTCCATGTGCCCCAGTGTATCCTGGGATTGCTCTCATTGCTCTCAACACACACGTTGTGATGCCACTACATGACCGCCGTGGAGGGAGAGTGGGCCTGTCTCCTGAGTGCTTTTGTCCTACACGTCTGTTCTTCCTGTTCTTCTAGAAGCAGAAGGTAATTCCCAGGTTGTATCTAGGTTGATCGCCCAATTCTAATTAAATGCCGCCCCACCCCCAGGATACCGAACAGTCCTCCCGAGTTTGGTTGTTCTGTACCCCTCGCTCCACCCCATCATCGCTCTTGCAATAGAACCCATCGGTCCAGCTAAGGGGGGCTGAGTCCTTGCCTTTGTGTCCACACTGGCTTTCTCTTGTCTCTAGTTGCTCGTCCTCAGTGCAGGCGCTAGTCTGAGTGCTGAACTCACTGATTTGGTCCTGTGTTTGTGGAGACGAGAGTCCTGGACGCACCCGAGGGAGAGCTCCTAACGCGCTGCCCCGGGAACGTGCAGCAGGACAGGCTCGGCTCATCCATGTCGTTGCCACGCCGGGGCCGTGCGCCAGGGCTCCTCGAATCCCTGCTGACCAAGCAGAGCATCGCTGGGGATAAAAGACACAGGTCGCCGTGTTTGTTTTCAGAAGAATTTCAAAGAGTTGATGCTTTATTAGGAAGTCAGCCGCAGGCAACGGTTTTATGGGATGTTACGCTCTTGGAAGGGGAAGGAAAAATAAAACTGGGACTGTGTAATGATGACATGCCCCCCCCCCCCCCCCCCCCCC